TAATTTTAAGATATTAAAAAAACTATTTAGTTAAGTATCAGTTAAAAAAACATTTGTTAGTGTCTCTAGACTACCATATTAATTCTATATACTGAAATGAGTCTATAATATTATCTTCTGTTTTAATTATAAAATATTATTTATTAGCTTATAAATAAGATCATCTTTATCATCAGTAACTAAATTTGTAACAATTGAAAAAAGATTACATTCATAAACTAGTGTGCATCGGGAGTATGAATGCAGAGACATTTCAGGTGAGATATCCCATCACGGTCTTTATCCATCAGCTAATTAAAATTGTCCTTTTCACAGACCTCTAACTTTTTAAAACAGCCCCACTAACAGGTCCCAGTCTCATGAGCTTGGATTTGGAATCACGCTAGTTGTAACTTGTATCGTGTGAAAAAGATCTTAAGGAGAATGACATTAACACCATCATGGAATTAAACAAAAAAAAAAAAAAAATCGAATGATACACTTATATAAAATTATATTAATATAAAAGTTAGATAACTAATTTTTAAAAATTAAAAAAATTAAATTAGTTATTTATTAAAAATATATAGATTGTTTTTCATAAAATATCATCTTTAATTATTTGCGCTTTCACCTTTTCTTTTTTTATGGAAACCCCCTTATTCATATGTGCAATCAAAATGATTAGTTTTAAAAATATATATATAAATTAAAGATATAAAATGGGTTGAGATGAGCAAATTAATCCTAATTAACTTTTATATTTTGCATTGGAGAGAGTATATAATTATAAACTAAAATCATATAAAAAAAAAATCTAACGTAGAGTATACAGTACACCATTCAATTATAAGTTTTAGAAATATTAATTACAAATTTATCATAAAACGTGCACATTCTATAAATCTTAAAACTTTATTTACAAACCTTAGAAAAAAATGAAAACCATAATAATTCATCCGGTCCTAAATATAAGATCCCTTTTATAGTGTAATTTACACAACAAAATGTGTCTTATATTTAGAACCGGAGGAGTATAAATTGTTGAAATTGTGTTGGAAATTACTAGCAATCCAATTTCATTACCTAAAAAGTTGATTAGATGATCTTTTTATTTTTCTCAACTAAAATTTTGGAATTTATGAATGATTTTTTTTAAGTCACAAAGTTTACACAACTTATATATATCATATAAAAATTATAAAGCTATTTCATTTAAAATATATCTTTAAAATGCACCTCCATTCATTTTTTTTCCCTTCACTTCTTAAGAGGTAAAAAAAGTCTTTCATTGTACCAGAAGGATCATTAATGTGGGATTGTACTGAATCTCTCTTGCCCATGAAATCCTCCTCCCATTGATTCATTGACTATGTTTTGATAATCTGATGCCCAAAAAAAAAAAAAACAGAGTTCATTTTAGTACTTCTCTAAAATAATAAACAAAGGCGCTTTACTCGTCATCTTCAAATAAATTACTCACTTCCTAAATTCTAATGAATCCTAACCACAACCATTAACCAACAAACACAGAATTCCATGCTTAACAAGGAATTCCAAACCTTGCCTATGAAAAATTCCAAGTCTTGACCTAAGTTAATTTAGCTACCTACTTGAGTTAACTTGCCATGCCATGCATTTAATACTTGTCTTTGTACCAGTAATCAGAGTCATCATTCTTAACTTCATACAAGAAATTTAGAGTAGTCTTGACCCAACTTCCTTCTATCTTTTCATCAGCTAGAGCCAACATACACACATGCATTTCCCACCCCAAAGAAGACACTAAAAAAGAGGTAGCCAGCTGGCAAACAACTAAGCAGAGATTAAGATCATCACTGATCCTCTTCCATTATATAATTCACCAACCTGCCATGTTTCTTCTTCATCTCTGCACTAAACATGGCATTATGGCAGCAAAAGCATGTTCTCTCAGTTCTGATGATAATTCTTTGCCTAGTACTTTGTGTTTGTTCTCATGAAAGGCATTATTATACCGCTCCAAGTGTCACTCCTTTAACGGATTCTTTTCCTCATGTTCTAGTTGATCTTTGGTTTTCTAAATCCTTTGGTGCCTCAAATATCAAGTTTCTGAATAATGGGTCCATGGCCACTCTGGCTCTGGACAAAACTTCAGGTTACAATCATGATGATGCTTGCTCAAATCAATGCATAAAGTTTTAATCTTTGAGAGCTTTTTGTGATACCCATTTGAGTTCCTGTTGTTTCTCAGGCTCTGGTGTGGTCTCGCGAACCAGATACTACTATGGATTCTTCAGCGCTGCCATCAAGTTACCCGCTGGTCAGTCATCTGGAGTTGTAGTAGCCTTCTATGTAAGCTTCTTCTCTAATCTCTCTAATAATTTCATCTTTGAAATGTTTATGAGACTATAGCTTCTGAAGAATTAACAAGAGGAAATCTCAGCTGTCGAATGCAGATGTGTTCCCTCACAACCATGATGAGATAGACATTGAACTGCTTGGTCATGACAAGAGAAACGACTGGGTCATTCAGACAAATATATATGCCAATGGGAGTGTCAGCACAGGAAGAGAAGAGAAGTTCTATCTCTGGTTTGACCCAACACAGCAGTATCACCATTACAGCATACTTTGGAACAACTATCACACCGTGTAAGGCAAATCATGTTTCAACCTTAAAAGACAGGAGAAAATGTTAAATTTACTCTGAGTACCTAGATTCTTACTAAAGTTTTCTCTTAATTCGGTTATGTTTTCAATGAAAGTCCATCACTATATTGCTAGATTTTGCTGACATGACCAACCATGTGCCCGTTAAGCATTAAATATTCAGATACCAAATAATCAAATTTTTAGTTTCAATCATCCATATTAGAGTGACAATATAATAAATGACTAGCCATGTTAATTGAATTTTAACAGTATTGATAGGATTTTAATGAGTGATTTTTTCCCAAGACTATAAAAGACTCAAGTACAAGCTTTTAAACTTGAGAAGCAGAACTAAAACTTCAGCAAAATTTTGAAAACAATTTTGATATAACCAGAACTAGACATGTTTTTTCATGCATTATGGGAATTTGAAAAATGAGTCGCACTATTTTTTGGTTTGTGAATAGCGCAACTTGCTATAGAACTTATATATTTATCTTGATGTCTCTGAATCTTGTAGTTTCTTGGTGGACAACATACCAGTGAGGGAGTTCACACACGGCAGCAAATACCCTTCTATATACCCATCAAAGCCAATGTCAGTGCATGCCACAATATGGGATGGTTCAAAATGGGCCACTCATGGAGGAAAATACCCAGTTAATTATAAGTATGGTCCTTTTGTTGTTTCATTTACAGAAATGGAACTCACTGGCTGCAAATCAAATCCCACAGAATCCACAGTGCCTTCTTGTGGCGAGGTCATTTCTTCAAGCTCATTGGACCCAGTTAATGGACCAGAGTTTACAAAGCTGTCACAGCAGCAGATTGAAGCCATGGACTGGGCAAGAAGGAAATTAATGTTTTACTCTTACTGTAATGACAGACCCAGGTTCAAAGTTTTACCACCAGAATGCCACTAAGGTGCATAAGCTATTTTGAAATGTTTACTTTTTTTTCTGTCATTGTTTTTTTCCCCTCTCTATAATGGGGAAGCATGAGGAATGTTGTAATTCTATTTTATGGGTCAAGAATGGGTATTAAACTGATAACACAGTAAAAAGTCAATTCGAAAGGAAGCATTTTTATTTATGTGTCTGCTCTAATTCATCAAGTAATGTGCATGCTAAGTATTTATGATGAAAAATGCTGCACGATGCAAGCATCAATTGAAGTATATCTTCAATAATATGTATGTCTCCCAAGTAATATGAAAGTACTGCTCTTTTTCACCCCATAACTTCCACTCTTCATTGTTTTTTTTTTAATAAGCTTTCAAGTAGTTAGGAAATTAATGAGTTTGAATCACCAAAGTTGCAGGAGTTATTCTACTTACCATTAATTTACCATTAAAGAGAAACGGGTGATTTCTTTTTGTTAGACAAGACAGAGGAAAAAATAAATATAAATAATGCTACTTGTTATAAGTTTTATTAGATGCATTCAGCTAAGTTACTGACTTGTGAATTATACAGCTTATTAGAGGTCTTATATGACAGATTAATTGTTGTCTTGTTTTGTATGAACTTGACTAGAGAATAGTGAAAAGGGGAACATAATATAAAGATGTAAATCAAAGAATAATGCAAAGTGCCTGATCTAGCTCAGCATATCCACACATGTACAGCAAAAAGAGATTTCCCACTTAATTCTAAAGTCACAAAGCTTGAAACTAAAGTATCAAATTCAGAAGAAAAAAAAAAGAATATTTTATTGTCATGAAAAATAGTAGGTCTATATAGCATGCATTTTGGTCTTTGACCATGTTATATTTTAAAATGTCATCAATCTTGCCCTCACAGGTGACAATCTATGACAGGATTTTATAAACAAATGATGGCATGTCAAAAATATATCATCAATATAAAATATGTAGAAAAATATATTAAAAAAATATAGTTAAATTTCAATTATGGTGAAGATAATATTCTTATTTATCAAATTCAGTTGACCTAGGAATAATACTTTAGAAAAGGAAAAAAATGCCTATATTCTGTGATTGGTTAATTGTCTGAACAAAAGAATAATATCATTTTTAGAATATTGTTTGACTATTGATTCTCAGTAGAACTTTTATGCTGGAAAAATAAAGTGATTGCCTTTTAATAAATCTGAAGGAATGATATTAAGTTATCAACGCCTTTTTAAAACAAGGTTTTTTTTTTTTGGCTGGGTACAAATATTCTCTTGGAGGTAATCATACTTGAAACATTATTAGTCACTAAATGAAAAAGATTCATCAAGTTGTGAGAAATAGGCTCCTTAAGATAATCATATTTAAGACATTGTTAGTCGCTAAATGAAAACGATTCATCCATACCAGCTGTGAGAAATAAGCTCCTTCCATAGTTGTTTTTCTAAAACAAGGTTGAGTGGGCCATGAATGAACTTAATGTAGAAGCCTTGGACTTGTTAGGAGAAGAAAAGGCAAGTGAAACGTAAGATCTAAGTCATCACTTGAGCATCTCGTTCAATTTGTAAATTTTTATCTAAAGCTATAATAGATGCTACCTTTTTTGCGAATTTGAACTAAAATGAAATTATGGATCAAAAGTAGAAAGTTAGAAAAAAAATTTGGGATTAAAAATAATGTTTGACAAAAAATTTTCTTTTGAAATGACATCTTTCTAAAATTTAAATATTTAATCAACCCTATTTAGATTTGTTAGGTCCTTTATGGGTGAGAATATCAAATGAGGCTTTTTGCTAAATTAATTAGAACTTGATTTATTTTCTGGTATTGTAACTATATAAGAAGATTTAATAATAGTAAATCCAAATCATATATTATCTTATTAACTAAGATATTGGGAAGACTGTAGTAAATCTATCATAATATATTACTCCTCCGGTCTTTAATGTATGTAGAGTTTAATTAACTAATTTGAGTATATCAAATATGTTAGTTAAATTAGTTAATATAATATGTTTTTTTCTAAAACACCTTAATCATCTTCTTTAATTCCTTTCATCCCTCCCTCCCTCTCTCACTTGATTATTATTGAAAAAATATCAATAGGGTTAATATAAAAAAAATTTGATAAACATGTGAAATATGTCATACATTTAAGCATCCGAGTAATTGATAAGTATCATGGAATGTCTTATTTTCAGAAAATGCAAATATTTTACCTTCCTAAAATATTCTCTCTCTATAAATACAACGTCCGCCTATGAATACACAGTCCAACCTTCGAGTTTTCAGGTTATCTATCTAGTCCCTCTTTCTTCAATGAAGAACTCAGTTTTTTCCCCCAAAAAAAACAATTGAAGTTGAATTTTGCATGCAAATAAAGTTCTTAAACTTTGAACTATTTGCAAATAAATAATGAACAAAACTAATAGGATAAGAGTTATCAATATAAATGTAAACTTTCAAGGTCCATGAATTTTAAGGATTGCGAAGATTATTTATATATGACATAAAATTCAGAAGGATTTTATATAATTTAGCCTATATGGCTTGCTGCAATTTTTGCTAATATTAATATTATTCTTGGCATCAAATTGCTTTACACTGGGAAGCCATAGTGGTTTTTAACTAATGTGAATGTAGATGGTAAGCATCAAGAGACCCTGATATTAAAATTTTCGCCATATATTTTTACTTTTTCTTGTTGCTTTGTTTTTAAGAAAATCTTTTATCTTTATAATTTTAACTGGACTGTAACTTAATCTTTTTATTTTAACTTGGTGTACGCAGCACTCATAGTTTTGGCTGTTTCGTCATCCACACTCTATACAACTTAGTATCTATAGTTTAAAAGTTTTAAAAATTAGTTCTTGTATTTAAAAAAAATAAAATTATGTATTTTATGAAATTTAGGGACTTAAAGTATAAATGATTAAGATTATAAATTTGTAAATTAAAATTTAGGAATCGAATTAAGTTAAAGGTATAAATATTAAGGTGCATCAAGTTAAAAGTAGGGACTAAATTATAATTAGGTAAAAATTTTAAGAAAAACATTTAGGGACAATGACAAAAAAAACAGCTGGAATTTTGTAAATGCCAAATAAGAAATGTTAACAAAAATTTATTGTCATTTGCAATTTCAGATTTATCAATACCAAATAAAACTATGTTATCAAACCTAATTTGAGATTTATAATTTTCAGTTTTTTTTTCCTGTCATTCTCCTAAAGATCTATATATTTTAAATATTTATACCATTTCGTTTTGGATCCGTCCCTGACCACAAAAACGAGGGAACCCAGATGGTGCAAAATGCAAATTGCGAAGAGCACCAAATCCCAAAGGAAAACCCTAATCGAGAGCTCTATCATTTTCCTTGTACTTGGCAAAAAGTAACACGTAACATGCATTTCTTAAGGCTTTGTTTGGATATAAAATTTTCTTCCCTTTCATTCCTCGCCTCAATTCCCGCACCAATCAAACGCTTTCCCTTCAAAGCAGATTCTTTTACTTTCCAACGTACCCCACACAGTCTTTATGTGATTCTTTTTTTCCAACTCGCTTCATATTACACCATGCCAAGAGTGTTGGGTCGTCCCTTGTAGTGAAGTCTATCAAAATCATTGCTTTTGGAGTTCCAAAGGCTCAATAATTGAGATTTTCTTTGACACAGCTAGGTGGGGAAGCCATGGCTGAAGAGAGTGTCGTTGAGTCTTGCGATTTGCCTGCGAAGAGGCAGAGGGAAGACGAAGAGAATGGGGTCTCTGCTTCTACCGTTTCCATGGAGACAGACATGAATGGTGGCAAGCATCCTGATTTTATGTCTTCAGTGATTCCTGGCTGGTTCTCCGAAGTTAGCTCAATGTGGCCGGGTTAGTTCTCTCTCAAAACCCTTTATATGATGTTTTCAGAAGCTGCCTCCTTTCCCCTGTTTGGTTGCTAATACAAGAACACGTTACCATTCTTTCTCATATGAGGATACGAAGATAGACCATTAATCATTGATAATTGATATTAATCATTAATAATAATTCCTGGTTCCATTTCTTGTAGATTCGTGCCTGCGCGAAAGCACACACTATAGTTTTAGGTGATTTAGTTGATTACTTGTTTTGGTGTCAGTTGGCCAGGACTTTTCTCTTTTTACGGAAGCTGTTTGCTTTTCTTGATTTCTGTCTATTTTGCATCATTTGCTTTTCCCTAATATGATAATTAAGCATTTTTGAGGATTGATAATAATTGACTGTCTGAATGTGCCCGAAAGTATAACCACCGCTAGCGAGTCTTCAATAATGTCCCCCTAATTGCTACTACAGGCAAGTTGTTTTTAATGGTTGTCATGTTTTATACTTACATTTGCAAGTTTGATTTCTCCCTTATCTGCTCACCAGATTCGCTGAGCACATTTTTTTTTTGTTTGTTGCTCTGATTTTGATGTCTGCACATATGAGAGCCGCGGTTCGGCTTGGTACCTTGCACCAGATAGAAGTTAATTTTTGGGTAGATGCAACTGTTATCACTTCTTTCTGTGCTCATGAAATATATGCATTGTCGCATACTATAAAAAAGAAAGAATTTTATTACTCTCTGTAATTTTGTCCTATGCACCAATGAAGGACTATTTCCTTTGCTCAGGCGTCTATACAAGTATACATAATTTCTGTTAGCGACTGTCGTACGTTAATTGTTTTGTCTTCTGTGAAATGAATATCTCTGCATCTTACAGCCGTAGTTTGGCAAGGTCAGAGCATTACTGATACACTGGAGATGTAAGCCAGATCTTATGGATCTACCTTTGTGATTATATTTATGGTTTGGAACTTGGTTGTTATTTTGCAGGAGAGGCACACTCTTTAAAAGTTGAAAAGATCCTATTCCAAGGGAAGTCTGATTACCAGAATGTGATGGTCTTCCAGGTACAGGAGGCTTCAGTTTCAGCATATTAAGTTATTTTTTCTTTATACCATTTTCACGGCCCTTTCTCTATTTACAATGCAATGCTGTCAATTTTTTCACAGTCATCATCATACGGAAAGGTTCTTGTTTTGGATGGTGTGATTCAGCTCACTGAAAGAGATGAATGTGCATACCAGGAAATGATCACACATCTTCCTCTATGCTCCATTCCAAATCCCAAAAAGGTCCTCAGATAATTCCAAAATTCTACTATATGTATTGTTTACATTTTTTTTCTCTGTTACCTAACATTTGTTGGTTGACAAGTCGCTCAAAGTACTGTGAAGTAGTATATGAATTCATCCCGAAGCTTAGAAGAATTGGTAATGAGCATATCTTATTGATCTAACCATGGCATAATATATGCAGCACCATTCGTTATATTTAGATTGGCAACATTAGTTTCATTTCCTATTGATTTGTGCCTGAGTTGACCATAGCCTTTCACAGATAGTTTGCTGAATGGCAATAGTTTGAGTTGAGGCTAACACTATGGAATTAGGGGAAACATCTAATTTATGGCTGGCCAGAACCAGTCTTGGTTTTGTTTTAAAACAAAATTTGAGGGATATAATGAACATAGACATGTTTGAAGTCAAATAGGGATACATTTTGCTGTTGGGGAATGATTAGCTGGTTATATTGTTTTAGTTATTATTTTCCTCATTGCAATTTTCTTTCTTAGGTTTTGGTTATTGGTGGGGGAGATGGTGGAGTCTTGCGGGAAGTTGCACGGCATTCTTCTGTTGAGAAGATAGACATTTGCGAAATTGACAAAATGGTTGTTGATGTGAGTAACGACTCAGGCCTCTACTCTATTTTTTCATGCATTACTTCACTCATCCGTGTATTTTCTCAGCTGAGTGGTAATTTACTGAAGAAATATTACTTATTACATGCTGATTCTTTTTTACTTTGTCTCGAAATGATTATATTGTTGAGCTCAGTGGCTTCTGGCAGCTGCATGCTAAGTGTTAAATTAAGCTCATAATTACAGGTTTCCAAACAATTTTTCCCTGAAGTAGCTGTAGGGTTTGATGATCCACGTGTAACACTTCATATTGGTGATGGTATGATCATCTTCGTATTATTTTTCATAAATACTTGCTCTTTTTGGAGAATTCATCTCATTGTCACTTGTCTCAATGGTTTAGGAGTTGCCTTTTTGAAAGATGTTCCTACAGGAACTTATGATGCAGTTATAGTTGACTCATCTGACCCTATAGGTATGTGTGTCCTCTAAAATTTTGGTTCGTCAATGGCAATTTAATTTATTATCTAAACATATGAGATATTATCCAGGTCCTGCTCAGGAGCTTTTTGAGAAACCCTTTTTTGAGTTGGTTGCGAAGGCTCTTCGTCCTGGAGGAGTTGTGAGCACTCAGGCTGAAAGTATATGGCTTCATATGCATATTATTGAGGGCATTGTTGCCAATTGTCGCCAGATATTTAAAGGCTCTGTTGAATATGCTTGGACTTCAGTTCCCACATACCCAAGGTATTGTTATAATTTTTGTTTTGACTGAACTATTGTGAGTCCTTCAGAGATGTATGAGCCACCAATATATCCCTTAAAATTCAATTACCATCATTTTAACTACAATTGTTTTTAATATGGTAATGTCTTGAGCTCTTCCCAATCATCAATTCAAATTCATGACAGAATGATATCGAAGTAGAATGATATGGTTTTTTTTTTTTTTTTTGGTAAAAAAAAATGATATGGTTATTTTGTTTCGAGTACTGATGATGGAGAATGCATTTTTTAGGGACCCAAGTGATAAGTTTACTCTTTACTATTCTTCTAGGAAAAGGTCATTCTAAAATTGACTTGTCTCAATCTGTATGCTGCCTTGCAGGAGAACTCTGTTTTAATAACTTGAAAATGAGTATCCACGCTGATGTTGCTTTTATTGTTCCTTTTCAGTGGGGTAATTGGTTTTATGCTTTGCTCAACCGAAGGACCTCCTGTCGATTTCAAGCGTCCAGTGAACCCCATAGATGCTAATGATAATCAGAAATCAGTAAGGCCGCTCAAGTTTTACAACTCTGAGGTCTGCTTCTGTTTCAACCATTTTCTCTTATATTCAAATTGGTACCTTTTGACAGTCTTTATTCATAAGTCCTCTCGTTTCTATTCAGATTCATGCAGCGGCATTTTGCCTGCCATCGTTTGCCAGGAGAGCGATCGATTCTACAGCAAATTGAGAATATTTTCCAGATTCTGGAGGAGCATGTTAACTGTTGCAGAAAGCTACCTTCCCTTTCTTACTAGAGTGGTTTGCCTATCAATGAATCACCAAATAATTTAGGACTCGAATTCAACATCAGCTAGTAAGACTTATGCAGAGGATACTTGGAATGAACTAACCTATGTTTCTTTATGAAAAAATGATTGGTGATGTTGGAATTAGTTGAGCTATTAATAAACCTTCTCGTTTCATGCCAATTGTTCACCTTCTTGTTCAAATAAGAATGCATTCTTATGATTTGCTATCTGTCTTGCTTGCTACTGGCTTATGAACGATGTGGTTAGTCAATTTTTGTATTCTGCTTATTATCTATCAGTCTGATTTCTTGAGAAAAACAAATTCGTCTTGCTTTCACTTAGATAGTTCTGTGGTAAAACTTACGAATCTCATCGTAGACTTCTCCCATAAAATGATAGATAAACTGAACTAATTATTAAACAAAGGGAAGATTTATACGCAGTCTGTTATATCTGTAATCAAAACAAAACCAATTTATGGTTCACCAGTTTAATCATCCACCTTTTATGGTATTATAGAAAATCATGCACTTGTCATATTTGATTATTCTAATATTTAAGTATATAAAAAAGCTACATATAAATATAGCCTTAAACGTGTCAGCAAATCAAACATGGATTTGAACCTTTGTAATTCAAAACACACACACACACAAAAACTCAGAGATTTGGTTTGGCCTGTTTATATTGTTTAAACCAATCATACAAACAAAGTTTTACATACCAATACCACATGCATCTGGGAACGGCAGATAGAAAGCAAACACAACTACTCTTGAAGCCTTCATGGGATGAGCAGGTTGAAATTTGATAAGAAACAACTGATGTTTTATGATATATATATATACACATAGATATTTCAGATTATTTATAACAATAGAGATAAATATAACTCCTTACTCAACTAGATGAGAGTAATTACTAATCTCTTTCTCAAGCTTGATTGCCAGTAGCCCAATCTTAGTTCTTATATCAAATAAACTGCACCATTCACTTTGTGGCCACCAATTAGTTCTTTCATTCATGAACAGCTTCAGTGTCTTTGCCCAGTTCCTCATCAACCTTCTTCTTCACTTTCCTTTCCTTGCACTCATGGAAATAGATCATACAGGCCACCCATTTCAGCAGATTCACCACACAGAACAATCCTGCCTGTACTATGATTCCATTCCCCTCTTTGTAGCATCCTATGTACAGGCATGGAATCCTTAAAAATTGTCCCCAGGCAAAGAAAAAAAGCATCAGAAACAGCCCTCTCCTCTGACAGCCTCTGTTGAAATAACCAGAAAGTACTAACGCATCAATCCCATGAATCCCTTCCAATACTGAGATCACAATACTCATGTTCCACGTAGCACTCCATTCTAAATACATTCCTAACAGTTTTGCAAAACCCAGACTGCAAATTACTGCGAATAGCCCATAGAAACTGACATATCTCAACACAACTAAGTAGATGGTGACTATAAATAGTAATCCAAGCATATGACAGTTAGTTAAGAACTGCACAAATATGGAAGTTATAAACGTGCCTCCCAAGTTGGTTGTGTCAATGCATTTCTGAAACATGTCCTTGAGATTCATATGCTTCTCTCCTGAACGTAGCTTTGATGCCAAATCAATAGTAACAATTGCAGAGCAGAGATCTAAGACATGGAGAGGCACCAAGTAGATTAATCCGAGTTGAATCAGCTTAAGGACATAATTTTTACTGAATCTTCCAAGGATTTCGTCTGGATACGAACGATGATAATATCGCGAGTAATCAGGTGGTATGTTGAGAATGTCTGAGGTTTCAGCTAGAGTTTCTTGGAGGAAGGTTTCGAAGTAAACCATGAAACAGAAGAGTGGAAGCGAACAGAGGAAGGTGAAGATGATGAAGTTGATGTTCTTAAGAAAGATTAAGCCAACAGCTTCCTTTAGGATATCGAAGACCTCAAGCTCCTTCTTCTTCTGCTTCTTATCCTGCTGCATAACTTGTTTGTTTTCACTCTCCATATCTCTCTCAGATTTCAAATTCCAAAACCCAACTTCTGATGATGTTCTAAGAAACCAAGCTTAATGCTAAGTTCAGATTCACACAAACGACTATCTTCCCTTGTTTCTTCTTTTTTGGGGCAACACTTGAGTTGACTTGAGAAATCAGATTTGAGGCAAAGACTTGGTCTTTTTCCTTGCATGTGGTTATGACTTGGGCATAAATTGGCGTCACAAACGAGCCCAAAACTGAAAGTTCTGAACGCTGGCCCCTAATCTAGTCATTATTTTCATGTACGTTGACTCTGTACATTATTTGACTTATGAAGCGGTTGGTGTGAATTATTCAATGATAAGGGATGCACTATTTTATTCTTATTTTTGTTTAAGTCTATCCTTCTACAGTATTTAAAAAAAATCAGATTCATTTTTTTGGTTTTACTTCTGTTTAGTTCAGTTTGATTTTAATCTATGTTTGCATATTTTTATGTCTCCATATTTTAAAATCTTCAAGTTTAGGCATATTTGTTCTATATTTTTTCAACCCAAAATTATATGAAATGTTCAAAATTATAACTCTATAATAAATAATTAATCTCAAGTTACTAGTTGTTCTTAGTAATAATCAATTTAAGCACTTGTATAGAAACTATATATTTTTTCCCATGCAGCATAATAACCTGGTAGGAACTTTTTTTCATTATTGATTTGAAGAGAATTTTAGGTGAGAAATTAAACATTTAAATTCAAACAGAAAACTAACATAGATAAGAGATAGAAATAAAGAGATAAAACTGAAAAAATGATCCAATAAAAATATGCATAGAATTTAATACGAGCTGCACGTTTGCTAAACAATTTATATTTTAAATTGATCTATCTATTGAATTAAGAGTACAGACACTACACCAAATAAAAGAGAGAATATATCATAAAGAGATGAGTAAGTTCAATGAAGACACTTAAATTTAAAACATTAATTAATCTGTAAGTCTTTATAGTTTCAACTAATTTTAAATCAGGTCCTTATAGTTTTTTACTTTTTTATCAGGTCCTTATACTTTTACTTGTTTTTAATTAGGTCCTTACATTTGTTTTTCTTTTTATCAAGTCTTTATAAGTTTACCTTATTTTTAATTAAGTCCCTGAATTTTTTATTCTTTATTTTATAAATTCTAATAGTACTATTCTATAAACATAAAATAGTATATATTATTTAATATTAGTTTATAAAGAATAATATTCTAAAAATAATGAATTATTATACTTTTTTTATTATCTAATTATTAATTTAATTTAATTATTAATATTTTATATTTCAGTATTAATCTATTTAATTAAGTTTATATTTAATTAATAAATAAAAATTAAAACTACATGGACCTTATTAAAAATTTAGTGAAATTATAAGGACTTAATAAAAAGAAAAGTGAGTGCAACGACCTAATTAAAAACAAATAAAAGTATAAGAACCTAATAAAAAAAAACTATAAGGATCTAATTCAAAATTGATTGAAACTATAAGAACTTGTAGATTAAATAATGAAAACATTATGAATTATTACTTATAGCATGACCTCAATTCACAGATGCTGCTCAAAAGAAAACGCAAGTCCAAGTAACAAATTTTTTTATATGGCTATCTAACTAGGTTAGATTCGAGCATTGTCTAGTTCAATTACTAGTAGTTCTCCTAAAGGTATTTTCTGCCTTTTTATATAACTAATCTGATTGGATCATATCCAAGCATGATCGGGCTTAATTAGAAGTAGTTGTTTTAAAAATGTTTTCTTCATTCACACAGCTCAAACTCGAAACGTCGTGCTTAAGCTATCAAAACCATGGATGAGTTAATCATGCTTACATGTGAGTCTCTTGCCTCATAAGTAATGTACCTTTGCTCCGTGACCTTCTCAAAGGTAAGTTAAAAACATATTAATAAATTTAATAACTAATAATTTAAAATCCATCATAATTTCTGAGTTAGTCAGAACTGTGATGGGGAACCAACTGACTATTAAAAGGATTGCAGATTGAGTCTCTACTTAATGGGCTAATTTGAGAGTCGTTATTATCTAAACCCAACTTCTGAGTCAAGATTTACGCAAACTGGTATCTTCCCCGTTTCTTGTCATTATTACATTATATCCATTTCATTTTGATAATGCCAAGAATTTAAGATATTCACAGCCAAGGAGAAGTTAGATAACTCTGTGTACGACAAACAAAAGTGATGAAATTGAATCGGTGATGTAATTATTATCTTTTTGATAAAAACAAAAAAACAAAACGTCAGTCTATTCCTTTTTTTTTTTTTTGGGAGTATAAAGAGAATGTATTGCTAAGATATATACAAGAAGTTCAGGTTAAACATACAGGCAATTAGTTGGAGCTAGCAACAGCATCTAAGAGCCTCCTCGCATTAGAGGTGTGAATAACAAGAGATTGGACAAAAATAATGATGTTTTCTGGGAAAAAGATATCATCGGCAAATATGCGCTTGTTCCAGTTGTCCCAAAGTTTCCAACATAGCGTGCCAAAAGTGAGCTGCCAATGAGTTCCCATGCATTGAGGATTGAGATTCCGAAGTAGCCAGTCTTCAAAAGGTTTGGAGAAGAATTCCTGGGTTTCGTCATGGGGTATTAATTGCAGCCAGCATGCCTGCACTGTGGGACAAAAACCAAGAATGTGGTCAAGGTCCTCGACTGCTATATGGCTCAAATCACAAGTTCCTTCTCAATCGCTCTGAATTAGAAAGGAGTCTATTCTTCTTGGCTAGCCAAAGAAAAGTGTGAATCCTTTGAACCCCAGGCCTCTTCCAGATCCAATTCCAGCATTTTCCGGGAATTTCATAATCAAATTGGTGATTGGCTTGACACACCGAATGAACTGTGAAGGCTCCATTGGCGGTTAGGTTCCAGTAGCATAAGTCGTCTGACTGAGGCTCTTAAGGGGGACCAGTTGCAGCGATTTGTAAATTCAGGCTTCTTGGAAGCAGGTGTTGGAATTTAGTCCGGTCCCATTCTCCCTAGCTAGTAATGTAATCAATCGTTGATTGTCTTGTTAAGTTCGGTCTCTGATACATCTGTGAAAGTAAGGTATTTGAGAGGACCCACTTCACCAACTCAATAATCAAGCTAGAATCTAGTCGTCTTACCATTCCCAATATGCTAAGTGATATTTAGTTCAGTGTCAGTCTATTCCCTTGTGTGTATCACTATATACATTTGGTTCAGTTCAATCCCATGCACGTTTGTAATATAGGTTTATCTATCTATCTGTGCGTACTACATACATACATAATCTTCAAGTTTAGGTAGTCTATCTATATTTTTTTGACCCAAAAATTTGCAAAACAATCATAAAAGGTTCAAATTTGTAATCCTATAATTAATCTCAAGTTACTAGATATCCTCAGTATAACCAATTCAAACATTTATATAGAAATTTTTTTTTCATGCAAAGTAATAACCTAATAAAAAAATTTTATTGCAATTTGAACAAAATTTTTAATGAAACTTTTTAATAGTAAAAAAACAATTACAGAGAAGAGATAAAAGTAAAAACAATGATGCTCTTATGCGCACAAGATTCTAAGTTTTTCAGGTATTATCATGCCTGTAGAATTACAGGGCCAGCCTGTTTTACCCTTTTTTTTTGGGGGGGGTTTGCATTTGAACTTTTTAGATACGGCAACAGAAGATTTCTTTTTCTTTTTTTAACATGGAAAGGCAAGCCGAAGCTTGAGGAAAATAACGCCTTAAAAGGCTACACAAACGAACAACAGAACAGTCATGTTAACATCTTGTCTTCCAGGAATATTCCTTTGCAACCGTTAGGCACCTCCCAAGAGAGAATCATTTCTGTCAATCCTGTGTGGCCCTGTCTTGCCATAGAAGATTTCTAAAGTAGTGCATAAAAGACATATATGTATGTACGAACGTAAGTTTATTTCTGCACTTTCTACAATACGATCCATTAAACAAAATACGACTCGCTGTTGGATAAGTATGTTGCCTTATTGTTTGGGAGAGAACAAAAGATGGTGTCCCATGTGCACAACGAAATAATGGGTCCGTAGATGAATCAAAACCTATATTCTCATGCAAAAATTGCATTGAAAGAAACTATTCAGCCTAATCATTGGCCTCAAGTGATCAGTCAAATAGATCTTCTCCGTTTATGCAAAGAAGGTGACCTTTTGATCTCATAGCTGCTCCTGCGTTTACGTGTTCTGCCCTGTTGTACTGGAGATCCCTCAGGGGTTCTGTAGCAGAAATAAGCAAATTCAATGCGGTAATTTTAGATATTAGCTCTTTCAAACAGATCATCCACGCTAATTATAATAACTGAGCAAAGAATCACTACTGTTTATTATTTCAGTTTTATATGTTTCTCATCAGTCCCATTTGCCAGCAAATTAGATTTCACCAAGTTTACAGAGAATATGAAAGCATAAGAAAGAATACACTGAATCAGGCCTTCGGTGATCCTAAAAAATGGAGTAACGTAAGAGAATGCCGCAATTATAATTCCACATTTTCAACGAAGCCATCAGTGAAAGGAGAAGACAACAAATTCCAGAATGGCCGTGACTCCCCAAACTTCGCAAAACAAAACAAAGTGATTACCACAACCAAATCAGATGCCAACCTTATGGTGATTTAATGAAGAATCAACACTAAATTTAAGGCAAATTATCAATTCTTCAAAGAGGGAACTTATCAGTAATCTTTTCAGCAAACAGTTCGCAAACATTATACATCAGCCTCGAGTCATAAAACACAATTTACGAGTGAATTCATGCTCTGCAATCTATGAACCTATCATCTTTATTATTTCATTTACTCTCGGGTTCAATATTTGATGAAACAGCTATAACCCTATAACTACTTGAAATGCTTAATTGTGTTAATTACTTTCTCATCACATGGCCTACAGAGCAAACAAACCTGCGGGGCTCATGCCTATAGCCTGGAGTAATTCCGATATGCTCAAGGCGGCAACGAATCCTCCATCTTCCTCTGACCTCTGGACAGTCTCGAGCTAAATGACCAGATTTACCACACCTGTAACATCTACTGTCGGGATTATGATGTTTTACATGCCAACCATTTCTACCTGTA